GCACAATGAAAAAGTCTAAACCCTGCCCTGAATGGTTGATGATGGAGACTAAAGGACTGAGTAGGAATGAGGTAAGTATTGGTTTCAAGCCAGTCTCAGGACTCTAAAAGAAACAATCATGCCCATCCAGTCCAAGGCTGATCTCTGTCATGGAAAATAACAGAAGAGACCTTTACAACTCCCTCTGTCCTCTCATTTGGCACATTTTCATCTTATCAGTTCATCTCTGAGCACCTGATTTCCCTGTTGGGTACTTGGTCAAGGCAGAAAGGAAACTTTCCCTGTTGATTTTCTGTTCCCCTTGGGATCATGTTAGAAATCAAATGAATCAAGTCTATTACTTTTTCTCCATGAACTCTGCAGACTTCCAAGGTACACCCTTGGGTGATTGTTTTGTTTTGTTTTTGTTTCTATAATTTTGTTTCATTTTATTTATTATTATTTTTTAATTTGCTATAGGGCATGCATGCTCACCAGAGAGAAACAGAAAGAGAATAAGTGAGAAAGCAAGTTGACCATATGGGAGTCCAGCACCTGAATCAGCACACCACCAACTGGCTCCCATTTTTAGAGCTTATACCAACCCTGAGTTAAAATTTCCCCCTGAAAAGGACAGAGGGTCAGAAATAGGGGGTCAAAAAAATTGTAGAAACTAGAAATGGAGAATTTTTGATAATAATATGCTCGATTAAGCCAGTATGCAGTATATTCTGGATGGGAAATCACATTTTGTGATGATGTTCAGTGAAAGAATGTAAAATAAATTGATTTTTAAAAATATATTTAAAAATGTACTGGTCTGTGAAATTACAAAGTCTGGGAACCAGTACACTAACTGAGTTCGATGCCTACAGTAAGATGTATAGCCCCAGGTAGGTGTTACTTTATAGGATGTGCATTCTACTCACTGAGGCTTATGCCTAAAGTTGGACTTGTGTTCATGGAAATATATATATCAGCTGTGCTTGCTATGAAAATATTTAGATTAATTAAGATCTTTAGTGACTCAATAAAATGTGTGTGTGTGTGGGGGGGGGGAATTATAGAAAGCAAACATAGACACCAGAGACAGTGTGGGAGCAGAGTGGGAGATGACCAAGTGGAAGAGACAGGGAATCAAGGATGGGGGAAAAAAGCAAAACATACAGGAAACAAGAAATGGAAAATTATTTGTTGATGATAACATGTATGTTGATGTGCTTGATTGAGCCAATATACAGTGTACTCTGGATGGAAAATCTCACTTTGTATGTTGTAATGATGTACAGTGAATGAATGTAAATAAATAAATTTAATTTTAATTTTCACTGGCCCCTTTGGACCTTGAAAGCAGTGCCTTATGGTGGGGATAGCTTGCATATCTCCAGAATTTTGCTATTCCTCTTCACACAGGAGAAGATTTGGTAGAAGACAGGGTTACTAGTATGGTAGTATATACATATCCTACTATACACAGGATAAACCCCACCATGTAGAATGATCTGGCCCAGAATTTCAGTGATGCTGAGTCTGAGAAACTCTAATTTAAAGAAAGATCTGAAGATATTGAAAGGATTTTTGCCAGCAACTCACTGAACCTCCTTGTCCAGGGAGTGCTATCGCAACGGCAACCCCAATCAACCACAAAAGTCAGTTCTTGATGTAGAATACAAGAGGCTTTATTGCTAGCATGCTAGGACTCCACTCACAGTCATACAAGACATGATAATGAGTGAAGTCCCAAACAAAGGAGTATTCAGGTTATACAGACATGAGTCCGTGGGGTGAGGGAAGGAGAGAGTGAGGAAGCAAGATAAGGGGTTTCAAGGGTAATTTTATGGCGACCCTGAAGTTGCTTGTTCAAGCAAGAAAAAAACGTTTTTTACAGTTGTAGCAATTTGGTCAGGCTTGCAGGAGCATTTGATCTAGGTTTCTGGGGCTAGCAGAAGGGAGGAGTTTTACAATACAAGGGTTCAGGCTTCCAGCAAGGTGTTAAACTAGCTTGCTAGACTAGCTTGCAAATGGCTCCGGGCTCCCTGCAAGGTGTTATGCTAACTTGCAAATGGCTTCGGGCTCCCCCTGCAAGGGGGAGCATCTGCTTTAGTACAGAAGTGAAAGAGGCAAAGGTTAGACTTTATCTTTGTAAGACCAGATAGTCTAATTTCACTCTTACGATATGATAGTAGAGAGAATAAGTGTAGATAGCAGAGACCATAAGGGAGGGGAGTAGGTGGCAATAGGTAAATGGGAAGAGCAAAGGGAAGAAACATCTCACAGACAAAACAATATAAAGTTCTGTGTTGAAAAAAATTACAATTTTGAACCACGGTCAGCCATGTAGAAGTCCTGCTGGCCCAAAGGTACTCTCATTATTATTATTATTTGGTTTTGTCAAAGGGTACATGCATTTTCCAGAGAGAGACAGAGACACTGAGTGCAAAAGTGAGAAATTGCTCCTCCTGGGAGATGGCCATACCCCAATCCTTTCTCCCCCATTTTCCTCCTGGGATTGTGGGCATGTGTGCACATGCACCCAGCATAATTTCAAGCTGCCAGGTCTGGATATTGAACCATGGTAAGCCATATGGGAGTTTAGTGCCCCAAAGCAACCTCACTGATAACATCTGACACATCTATTATTCTCCCACTTGCTTATGTCCATCCCCACAGGGGACATACTCATATCTCTCTTTCATTTCTTTTCTTTTCTCTTCTTTTTCTTTGTCTCTTTGTCTCTTTCTCTCTTTCTTTCTTCTTTCTTTCTTCTGGCTTGCTTCCTCAGCAGTAAATCTTCCATATTCATCCACTTTCTGTCAAAAGCCAGGCTCTTGTTTTTTTGATGGCTGAGTAGTATTCCATAGAGTATATATACCACAGTTTTTCAATCCATTCATCTGTTTGTGG